AACTTCAGTTTTCTAGGCATTGTTGAATTTCGTTATTGTGGAGCTTTACGTTGCGTTTTCAAGTTCATCCTTCGTATTTTGACAAGATAATGGGTACCACTCTGTGTTACAGCTAAGACACTCTGCGTGCTGTTTTAATTGTGTCCATTAATAATCTTTTCTTTAGTGATTCTGTTTTTTTTTTTGCATCACTGTTGTTTGCCATTTCAGTGAATGAGTGAGCGCTGCGTTCGAGCTCACGCCTTAGTCATCTAATTAATTTTTTCTGTTTGTAAATTCTGATCGATAAATATCATCTGCCATATGCCACATCTTTCAATTTTTCGTCAAAATAAGTCCAGCTTTTCAAAATATTTTGGGCTTTGTGATCATGGAATAGCGCGTAAAATGGCGTGTCATGTGTTCAGGTGCGTGATCTATAATCTACCAAAAATGGGTTAATTGAAAATTACAATGGGGTTATGAGGATTATTAACAAAGAGATGAGCCTTGTGATATGGCGGACGGAAGTGATTAGAGGTGGGGGGTTAATGATACGAAAGCAACGGTAAATTAATACTAACAAGTAAGCTAGGCTAAAGCCTAAATTAATTTGCTTGCTGGCAACCCTCGAAGTAGGGGGACTTCGGCAGATGTTGCAGTAAAAGAATTGCTTTTGTTTCTTATTATCGTTTTAAAAAATAACGCTTTCATTTTTCACACGGAGAGAAACGTGGGAAATTTTTAATTTCAATGAAATCTGTGATGAGGCCTCTAATGAGGAATAAGGAAATGAAGGGAAGAAGACTGGATAACGCTGATTTAACAAATATGTTTCAACGGATTTGGCCATACAAAAACTGTCGGAACTTGTAGAGCCGCAGTGTATCATGAGGGAGGGGGAGGAAAAGATGCATGTTTGTGAATTTGTATAGACGTTGGGATTACATATAAAAAATCGACATTGTTAATGAGGTGCCGCGTTTACATATAATGATTTCGGTGTTGACGGGTGTGTGTGTGTCCCACATTTTTTCCCGCACTTTCAACTCGGAAACCACAAAAACTAGGCGGCTGAAGTTTTAGTATAATGTCCTCCTCCAGCGAATTACGCGGCAAATTTAAATTCAGCCTTCCCCTACCCGCGGGTAACACATACGGCCCCGTAAAACTTTTTCGGGTAAAATCGGTGTCTCGGGAGCCACGGAAGGTAGAAGGCTGAAATTTTGTGAGCATGTTCCGCGCGCATGCACTACCCAGAAAATTTAAATTCAGCTTTCCCTGTCCATGGGTAACAAATACGGCCCCGTGAAAATTTTTGACGGGTAAATCATCTCGGGAACCACGGAGTCTGGGAAGCTGAAATTTTAAGGTAATGACCCCCTGCCCACGCTCAACCTTCCCTATTCAAATTCAGCGGTCCCGCGCTCTCGGGTGTCACCTACGGGCTAGTGAAAGTTTTTGCGAGTAAATTATCTCGGGGACCACAAAGTCTGCAAAGCTGAAATTGTAGGGGAATGCCCTCTGCCTACGCTCATCCCTGCCTATTTAAATTCTGCATCCCCGAACTCTCGGATATCATCTACGGCCTCCAGAAAATTTTGGCGGGTAAACTATTAACTCGGGAATCACGGAAAAATATTCGTCCTTCAAGGTTTCGAATTTAGCTTTCATGCGCTGGTGCGTGAAATTTCTATTTTCCAATGTTTCAACTATTTTTGCATAGATTAAGGTACAAAACAGTGAAAATCATTAATAGGCAGTCGTCCGGTGGGCTGAATTGCACAAAGCGCATGATCGCAACGGCAAGTCTGGTGCGCATTGCTATTTATTTGCATTTGTTGCAGAGTTTGATCTCGAATGGATCTACAGCCGGTGTACTATGAGAAATCAGAATATGTTGAAACTGCAACGGGTAATAAAGTAAATCGGAAATCAAGACTTTTTGGCAGTCAAAATATTGTTCTCAATGGAAAGGTAATTGCTTTCACTGATTTTTATGCTTTTTTGAGCTCTTGACTTGATGACGTGTTTTATTGCTCTTACACCAATCAGGCATAATGCCTGTAGTTTAAAGCAGCTGTCGTTTGGAAAACCAGTTTTTCAAGAGTCGTTTTATTTTAATTGCGCTTTGGGGCATCCATATGTCTATCATATTATCGAGGCGCAAATCATCAAGGGCGTCCTGGAGGTAGATACCACCAGCAGTCTTGCTAGTAATTGGTTTCGCGTGTTCAATTGATTTGGGCCATAAATCTGAGCTGTCGCTTTTGTAGGGAAGGGGATGGAATGTACTGCCTGATTTTTAGCGTCAAATGCTTCCGCTTCAGTTTTACCAACGATTTTGGCTCTAAAATTCTTGCAAAAATTTGAAATAGGTTCAGAAATATAGCCACAGAAAATAAAAGGCGAAAATTGCTAAGCTGCAGCAATCAGTAGGTGACGGAAGTGCAAGACGGCAACAGTCTTTTGCAACTCAGCCTTCCTCCAGAATTAACTCCTTTTTTCCTCATTTTTAAGTGCTGTGTTTCAGAAGTCCCTAACTGAGTAAGTGACCGATTTTCAGGTGTTTTTTTTTTCGCAGCTTGCCTAAGTTTTTTTTTATTTCAGTCAATACTGATGAAGGATTGCATCCTCCGCGGCGATCTGCATAATATTAGGACCGGAAGATATTGCGTCGTTGGCGAGCGCACCATAATTCGACCTTCCTATAAGCGATTCAGTAAGGGGTTCACATTCTTCTCGGTTCATATTGGCGATCACGTCTTCATCGAAAATGTAGGTTTGGTTGCATTGCACGAGCGGGAATAGTTTTTCTGCTAGCTTTTTTTTAAAATTTCATTTTATCAAAGCACTACCCCTGCTTTATTAAAGATTCAGTAAAATATGCACACATAACAGAAATTATTAGCACTGATGATTTTGAACGTAACATTTAACCCAGGTTGGAACGCACCAGGCTTGCCGGTGAGATCATGCATTTTTGCACTAAACTCGCAGATCGCTAATAGCAGGAATGACCCGTGCATTGTAGCCTAACAGATGGCGCATATTGGCCGTGCTGTGTCTCTTCCGACATGTAACAGAAAAGGCGTCGGTTAGGATGAAGGTGTTGCATTGCAGGGCAGCATGACCTCTATGGTTATCAGTTCTTTGCATGAAGACCGGTCGTTTTTTTAGTAAACGCTCGCTCTTCGAAAAAATGCAGATTTCCAGTTCACTGAAAAGTGGGAATGTTGCTAGAGCGGTCGTTCGTCAAAAAATCCAAGTATGTGAATGAACTGGATATTGGGAGAGGATAAGGGCGGTCGTTCGTTGCTACAGAATGCACTTGTTTCTGATTTTTTGGTAAAGTTGAGTATTTCTCATGCCTGCCTGTAGGGAATTCCACTTTCAAGCAGAATTAAGACCGCGCCTGGAAGTAGAATATCACAGCGAAGTTTCATTTTCGCATCTTATCCAGTAAACGAAATATCCACTTAGCTACAAATATTTTTGAAATACCCTAAGTCGTGACGCAAGTTCAAATTGGTACTCATTTTGGGTATACGATTTCGCACATGGGCTGAAAAGTGCTGACAAGATTTGTTTTCCGGCTATTTTTCGAGTTAGCACAATACCAATTTGCAAACTTTGACGTGATCGTACGCGCTGTACAAACATGCGCGACGGCTGAATTTGAAAACTTTAGCTCGCACATGCACAGAGAATATCCCTTCAAAGTTGGAGCTTTCTATCTTGCCTCGTTCGCAAAATCGTTTCCCGCCTATGAAATTTGCATATTTTTTCGGGTGCTTGTACGCAGGGTCTAGGCCCGTGTGAGCGAAAATTTTAAAGCGGGAGGATGACACACGGAATAGGAACATATACCAAAATTTTAGCCTCCCAGCTTTCCTGGTTGCTGAGATGAAAATGGGTGACAAAGTTCACTTGCTTCCGAACACACTCACACCGACAACCTCTGGACAATATGCCCTTTTGCTCGCTGCACAGCAAAAACGCACAAAATGGATTGTATGTTTGTTGTTTGGAGAAAAGCGCTGGGCAGTATTGGTAGTGGTTTGGGAATGTAAGTAAAAATTGTTGAGCTCAGTGCAGGCAGACTTTTTAGGAGGTGTTGTATCTGTGTGCGGTGAAAGTCTTCTGTGAAAAAGCATCAAAAGATTTTGCCGCATAGTACTAAAAAACTACCGGAAATGTAAATAGTTTTACAATAGCTCACGTGATTTTAGCGCTTCTGATTAGTCCTACCTTTGAAGAGGCAGCGCCTATAACTAATCTAGTTGATCTTAGCACATAAGAAGTTCATTCTAATAAGTCATGAAGTTATTGTTATGCAGAATTTTTAAAGTTTATTCATTTTGACAGTTCACAGGTTAATTTTGACAGACAGCTGTTTTGGGACCCTCAATGAAAACTGATTTGAAGGGGTAGGAAAAGGGAAGGTTTAGAACTCATTTCTATTTGACTGAAGTAAATGTTGCCCGGCTGAATTTTCTTGTAGATTGTTTTCTCTGATTTTGTAGGCTTAATTCACTCACTGTTCAAAATCCAGTAATTTTTTTAAAGTGACCAAAATGTCTCCTTTAGTTCCCTTTACTCCCACTTTTTTCGTCATCATGCACACCTCAGTTTTTAATCAGAAATTACAAAATTAGAATTTTTTAGCATCTTCACTTGCTCTCTGAGCTTCAGAAATGCAATGTAGCAAAAAATACAGCTTTAGACTGCTGACCTGATCATTTAAACTCCAAGAAGCACAATTCTGATGAAAAAATGAATGAAATGTTAGGAATGCTGGAATTTTTGTGCATTTGTTTGTGTGATGTGTGCAGAAATTTGGGAAACTCGGAATGAATAAGCGCTTTCAAGGACTTGTGGAAGCTTAGGAAAATAAAAATTTTGGGTTAAAAAATTTCTGCAATATGTGGATTATACATAATTTAGCAATTTATCCGGCGGGCCTGATTTTTTGCGGATATTTGTTCGGGAAATATTTAGTCATGGACGGAGGAAGGGGACAACAACGGGAGACAATCGAAAATTAATTGCGATTTTGAAGAGTAAGACGAGCACGGAGATTTGCATTCCTTTATTTTCAATTTTAAAAAAATAAATGGCCAACGCACGGGCTGCCCGTGCGAAGATGCGTTTTTTGCAGAGTTCCCCG